CCCAGCCAGGCTGGTTGGGGAATTCTGGGAGTTGAAGTCCACTCATCTTAAAGTGGCCAAGTTTGGACAACACTGCTCTAGAGATTGCTGCAAATGGAGTGGGAGATGTTGGTTTGCTCCTAATGCCTATAATCCTAGGATGTAGGTTTGTCTCATGTTCTGGCTAACCAGTGATGCCATAATGTAGTAGAAGAAAGTAAGTGGTCTTCACATCAGAGTATTTGGTGATATTTGAAAGTGGCCGAATAGTAAATAGTTGGTTGTCTTAGATGAGTTCAGATTACTTGCCTGAACCTATGGAATTGTAATATTCACCTTGGAATTAAAACCCAGATAATAGCCAAAGAACATTACTTTGAACCCTTTGAATGTGTAGTCTTATCAGGAAGAATTTATTGGTATAGAATGTTGATATCTTAAAAGTAGCTTAATTGGAAAACCCAATTTACAAGCTTCCTCTCGTAATCAGAATTGATGGGAATATCTCTATTTCCTGCACATGGGCGTGCACACACACGCAAACACAATCTTAAGAGATTACTTTCCCCACTAGGCCTTTAGTTGGAAGTTCTCATCAACTACCTATTGTGTGTCTGCTGTGGTGGTTTATTGCAGTAACTTCTCCAGAGGGCTTAGAGGGGGGTCACTCGGGGTTCTGAATTGCCACTGGCCAGTTAGTTTCATAAAGCATTATTATTATTATTTTCAAAGTGGGTCAAGTTGTTTTGTCATTGCAAGCGTGGATTCCTGGTTCTTTTGCAAGCCCTGGTTACTATGGAAACCACAGAAGACATTTGCCATGCCTGTTCCTGGTCTGGGTCCAAAAACACTGGGACTGAGCAGAAACAGCAAAGGTTTTGGAAGATTGGGGTGGAAGGCTGTCGAGAAGGACAGCAAAGAAGAATTGTCATGCATCCCTAAAGATGTTTCATTGTGCTTCCTCTGATGGGAGCAAGATGGGATCTCTGACTGGGAACCATGAATTCTGAGTTGTTTCCAGTTCTTTTCCAAATAAAAACTCATGAATCATATATAATAGTAATAACATTATTGCAAGTTCACAGATTGGACCTAGATGAAATTGATCACGCTTGGGTTTACCTTGAAATCAATGAAATCAAAGCTATGGCCATCTTGTGTTACTAATTGCAATGGGATCCAGGTTGAACTAATTGTCTTTCTCTGATGTTGTGTCAAATGTGAATATATACACTTTAGATCTTCTTGCTTAAGAGATGCCAATGGAATGCATACATGTATAAATCTATCCCTTAAGGCCTGAGTATGTGCTATCAAGTCAGTGTTGACTCTTAGCCACAACATAGTTTTTCTCCTTGACAATCTGTCCCTAACTTGGTCCTTCAGGTCTCCCAATGGCACACTCACTGCCACTGTAACGGAGTCCATCCCCCTTTCTGCTGGTCATCCCCTTCTTCTCTTTCCTTCCACCTTTCCCAGCATCAGAGCCTTCTTCCTAGAGATAGGCCTTCGCATAATATGTCTGAAGTAGGATCATTTGAACCTGGTCATTTGTGCCTTGATCTTAAGATCTACATGCTAAATATTTATTTTAGAAAAAAAAATCATGCACGTTTCTTGAACATGTTTTTTTCCCTCCTGATTTTTCCCCCAGTGGCATGGAATTAAAATGGTTTAGAGTAGATCAAACCAAAGAAAAAGCAAACTTCATGGGACTGTTTCAGCTGCAACCTAGTTGCTCTATCAGTCTCGATTCCACCCCTGGGCTCTGCATTTTGGGGGCTAGCATCCCGCTTTAGGAAACATAGATAGAGATGGAAAGGATTAAAGTTTCCCTCTGGAAAGAAAGATTTAGGAGGTTAGGAATCTGTAGTTCCCAAGTTAAATGTCTTCACTACCTTGCGATGTCACAGGTTTAGCCAAGTTTATATGATGGGTCTTTGACTTGATGTTCTCTCTTCTTTCTCTCCAGCACTGCCAGTAACTCGAACCGCAGTACTCCCGCTTGCTCCCCAGTCCTGCGCAAACGCTCCCGGTCTCCCACGCCACAGGACCCCCAAGGAGACACCATGGTGGAGAAAGGGTCAGACCATTCTTCTGACAAATCTCCTTCCACGCCAGAGCAAGGCGTGCAGCGAAGCTGTTCCTCCCAATCAGGTCGTGGTGGGGCCAAGAATTCCAAGGTGAGTTTGCTGGCTCAGTGTTGAGCATTCTAGCTTCTTGTTCAACCTCCCCACTAGCCCTCCCTCATCCTGGGCTTACCTTCTTTTCGCTGTCTGGCTGCATCCTGATTTTGAGCTCTACTAATCAGGTCTTGGCTGACTATCTGCTTTCCTATGTCTAACTTGTCTTTTAATATCCGAGTCCCCTTCTGTTAATATACCAGTGTCACCCACCCAATATAGGAGGGATACTAAGCTTGTTAACAAGATGGCCCAGAAGTTTTGGATCATCACATAAAGCATTATAAAAGAAAGCACTCAACAGCACTGAACAGTACTCTGTGCAAATCCGAAGAACTTCTGCGATGTAATGAGATTTTCTTGGGGGAGAAATCATTTTTGGAATTGTTCCTTAAACATAAAGAACATGAGAATATCAGAAGAGCCATACCAGATTAGGCTAAGAGCCCATCTAGACCAAGCTTTTGCTCTAACGTAGGCAAGCAGGAGTCCCAAAGCTGGTGGGCAATAATAGTCCTCTCTGCATTTCAACCCTGACAACTGGTATGTATGTATGTATGTATGTATGTATGTATGTATGTATGTATGTATATTTCAAATTTAGTCCCTGCCCATCTCACTCAGCAAGCAACTCTGGGTGGTTTACAATAAAATAAGAATAAAAACCAATTAAAATACAATAAAAACAGTAATCAAAAATAAATAATATAATCCAAGGGGTAGATGGTATAAATAAATTATCAATCTCCGGGAGCATCTTCAGGGTGCTAACTACCCCCAGGGTTCATTACCACTCCTCAAGCCCCTTCAAGCTGGCAGAACCAGGTCTTCACCTCAAGACATGCAGCTTCTGATCTTGCAGGTAGCAGGTGGTCCTCCTGGCCAGTGACCTCAATAGCCATAAATATCCTTAACCTACAAGAATTGATCTCAGTTGATTTGTAGCTATTACCCCATCATGTGCAGGTAACTTCCCCAGTTTATGTGCTTTAATTTCCATAGACTTGATAGTTCTGGAATCTCTATCCAGAAGTCATCATGTAACCTGGGAGTTGATGCCAGATGTTCGGCACTTGGCATCAACTAGGCACTTGGCATGACTGACAATCTAGTCCTCTTAAGACCCCATGGCAGACCAGATTAGATTATCATGACTGAATGGACTATATGCTGTGATGGATCAAAACACCTTGTTCCACATTTTAAATCAAAAGCTCATTTTCCATTGTCAGAGAAGAAGCAGGAAGTAACAGGGTTCATTAGGCTCTATTGGGGACAACTATTGTTCCTAAGAAGAAGGAATGGCTAGACAACCACGTACGCATACTCCCACACATAAAATAGGTATATGCAAAACGAGCTGTATCACATTTTACAAACCCAGCTGCTGAAATTTCTTCATTCCTTATTTTCATTCCTTTTTCCTGTATCTTTATGCATTAGTCAATCAGGCTTTATAAAACAAAAGCATGCCTACTCTGAATAAGCAAAATAGGATATTACAGCAAGAACATGACATTTCCTGCTGGGGGAAATATAATGCCCTGTTAAGATCTTGTTTGTAAAAACAAAATGTCTATCTGAGTATCAAACGGTGGCTGCTACTCTATCATCAGCTTAGGAAGCAACCCAAACAGCATTTTTTCCTTTGTCCTGGATGTTGTGGCTTATAGGCTCAGGAGAAGAAGAAAGGCTCACCACCCAAATTTCTTTTTCCTCCAAATGGAGGTTGCTCAAAGTGAAAAAAAGTTTCTTGGCTCTGGGACTTAGTGATGTCCCTCAGAGGAATAGAATTTGGGATCCAACTGAGCAAATAAGGAGATGATCTTTTGACTCAAGGTCTTCTTATGTTATTAATAAAAAGATGTTGATCCTGTTCATTTTGTTTACTTCTCAGTTTTAAGTTTTAATTTAATTGTCCTCTTTCTTCCATGTTTTTTTTTTCTATTTCCTTTTTTTGCCAGCAAGCACCTATTTAAAATCAGCTTTCTTTCTACTCCATTCTGTTCCTTCCTCTTTGCAGCCAATAATTGGACCTTAAGAGAGCCGGACATTCTTTTGAAATCCAGGCCTCTCATAGGATCTCTTTGGCAGGACATTTGAATTTGACCCTCTAGTCTACCGTTTTCCAAAAAGCAAGTTCAGAAATAGGTGACCCTTTAGGATCAGTGAACATGTTGGCAGTATTTAAATGAGATTGTGAGTTCACCTAAAAACAGCTGCTGTGATTGAGATGGCCAGTCAACCAAAATACCCATTGACTAGAAGCCAGATCGATGAAGTTATATCTCACCACTGTATGTAGTTCTCCAGGATGCTTAGCTCCTTTTTTTTCGCCTCCCTGGGCAAGTGGATAGATGTTCCAATAGTGCTTTGAGTGCAGGCACTCCTTATTAGCTTGTAAGAAGATGGGTATGCCCTATAGGCTGGTGTTTTGCTTTGCAGCATTCTCTGTTCCTGTTATTCGTTTTTAAAACTCAAGGTTCTCAAAGGTAAAGACAAGAAGAAGGCAGGAAACCTGGCTGGTGTAAAAGGAGGGGACCATCTTTGGCATGAATATTGGTGATCCAATTGACCCCAAAGGAATTAGGCTGTTTCTT